ATATACTTCTGGTGCATCTCTGTCATTAGCCATCTTTTTTCTGAAAAGTTTCAGAAACCATGAGTTGTGAACCCTTTGGCAACATTTGGGGGCATTTCTGTTGTTCATATAGTTCAAATTCTTCTTTTGACGTGCACAGTTGGTGATCTGACGACAGCCCGCACATCTTTTAAAGTTCACGTCCTCATTTTGTCGGGACAACCGACACGAACGATCATGTGAACCTCCGTGGACCGTGGGGCAGTTACCAGAGTCCAACTGTTGTATTTCCAAGATGATGGAAAATTTCCAAGGCTATGGGAATTTCTGTGGTGCCCACATTCCTTGATGCTCTAAGCACGTGATTTTGTTGTTGTTGCTGCTAATTAAATAATCCATCCCTGATCAACTGGAGACCCAAATATATAAGGTGTTATGTGACAATGATGATGATGTCACCAGAGACACAACAGCGCTAGGTAATCAGGTAAGATGACGATGATGTCACCAACGACACAGCAGCTCCATATACAAATAACACACTAAGAGCCACCCTCTGCGCATGCGGACTGCACACACACTTGTTTATTTCCGGTGTTGGATTTCTGGCTTCAGGAATGAAGAATCTGTGAAGGAATTTATTCTTCTCTAGGGATCTCTGAGACAGGTTCGTAATTTCCAGCCGCCGCTGCCATTCTTTAATCATGTGACAGTTTTCCATCTTGTGCCCTGTAGATTATTTTATATGTATTGCATTATTAGATTCGGGTTGTTTTGAATTTCAAATTTGTCAACAAATGTTGGTTGACGATCTTTGCGAAGTAAGTGACTCATCTTTGACTCAGAATGTAATTGAAATTTTACCCCTAGAAACAACAGGTTATATTATTTTCTCTGTTGCATTTATTAATATCATATATGTGCTGATTGTGGCAGATTGAGCACATACAGTTATTTATATATGGTAAGGTATATTTATATCTAGATGTTGCAGACTGAGCACTTGACGGCTCTGACATTCCGCCCACTAATACTAATATTAATATTACTAAAATATGCTACTGGAAAAAGAGGTGCACCTCGCCCAGTTGGGGCAGCAATCACAATGCCGTTTGGCTAGGTGGATCGTCAACTAAAAGGCGTACAGCCAACACTTCTTATACTCCACGCAGTATGGCGTTGGTATTTGCGTCTTCTATATCATGTACTATCAGAGTAAGTTATGACAGATGGTTGGTCTCATGATGTCAAACTATCTCTAGTTAGTATCTTGCATCTACTCTTTCGGACTTCCCCTCTTTTCATCAACTATCCCACTGTCATGTCATGGTATAGCCCAGTTGTTTCCTTCTCTTGACATCACCAGCATATGTATGATTTCATTCTGATGTAGGCCATCAATGGTCTTTGTGAGTCAAGTTTTTTTTTTTAAAGACCAACTTTTATTACACTTTTTTTTTAAAGTTCTACTTCTTATATGTCCAGTTCTCATAATTCATCTATTGAAACCACATCTCCACTGCTTCCACATAATTTTATATGAATTGGCTTAATTGTCCATTATTTACTTCCTTATAACAGGCTAGGTTTATATAAAACTCTGGAGAATTCTCTTTCTCACATCAGTTGACAAAAAACAGGTCAGTCAGGTGTGTGGCAAATCATATACTTGTATTGCTGTCTGCATCTGAAAGCTAAGAGGTGTCACAGGCAAAAAAGTACCTTCAAGACACTATGGTCTATACACTATGGTTGCATGTACTGGATGAGGAGAAAAGCCGTTTCCATGGTCTGTCTGTTGTTTTCTGCTCTTTGTGTCTACCTTCTTCCATTCCTGTGGTACCTCATTAGAAATGTATGTGTCAAAATCTTCTTTATGCTCGCTGACTGAAACTCTGATGGAAAATTCTGGTTGTTTATCCACTTTTCGACTCTAGTCTAATTCCAAAACTTGAGTTATGTAGGCACAACTGTTTTACAGATCTGGCTTATTTGCAGACTGTTGATTTCTGCCTTCTAAGCAGATGCACTTAACTTGAAAGGGGATGTGCCTCATCTACCGACTGTGATTGCATAATTTTTTTTTGGGGGGGGGGGGGGGGGGGGGTGGGGGTGGAATTGGATCTATTATTCCCCCCCCCCCCCCCCCATAAGGTGGCCCCAAAACCCACACATGGACACCTTTTCCTTTTTTTAATTGAATAATGGGATGAATTTTTCAAGAGGTGTAAACAGGAACATGCTATCCTGCCAGTTTGCCAAAAGTGGAACAGTTATTTGAAATTTCGGCTCTCCTCCGAACTTCTACCCCCGCATTATGGCGGGCTGAAATATCCGTTCGGGGCTCAGTTCTATTAAAAATATGCCGGCTCCGTATAACGAAACAAATGCTCTAACAGGGTCTCAGCGATATGTTACTTGCGGACCTGTTTCTTATTGTTTCTGATTACCTGACAATTCTAAGAGATGCAACACTGCAGACGATAGTAGTAGACGACACTAATAGCGACCGTTGACACTTTCCATTGTTGGACTTTCTGCCGACGAACAAATCGCGACAAATCTAGGATCGGCTTGGAAAAACGAAACAAATGCTTCAACAGGGTCTCAGCGATATGTTACTTGTGGACCTGTTTCTGTGACTATGCCTCATCGCCGACCGTATTCCCAGCACCGCTACGCGCAGTGCGGATAGGGGCTAAACTAGATGGCTGGGGCTCACGAGCAGCAGCTACCGCATCTCATGCAACTTCCTCCAGTTACTTTGCTCGTGAGTCCCAGGCACCTAGTTTAGCCCCCCATCCGTGTGGGGGATACGCTCGGCGGTGAGTTTAATCGCGTTTTGCACATGCCGACAAGTCTTACATCTACCACTGCTAAATCCTCAATCGGAAGAACAGTATTGCTAATCTGCGTGGTCTACCCGCTATATCGCTTTTATCGTCTGTAATGTCTCTAAATTGTCAACGGTCGCTTTTATCGCCTGCTAGTATCGTCTGCAGGAACACTCGACATTGTCACCGGTCACTTTTATCGTCTGCAATGTTGCATCTCTTGAAATTGTAAAGTAATCCTAGTTTTGCCGCGATTTGTTCCTTGGCAGAAAGTCTGCATTTTTCATTAGACTGAGCCCCGAACGGATATTTCAGGCCGCCATAATGCGGAGGTAGAAGTTCGGGGTAGAGTTGAAATTTCCCTTAGTGAAGATAATGTATGCAAAAGTTATATTTTGTAAACAAATGAAGCTTATACAAACATGTTGCTGTTAGCATGAGCAATTTTGTCTCATCATACAAACATGTTATTATTAGCGAGATGAGTCTCATTCGTCTCATCATAAATCATGTTGTTATTAGCATAATGAGTCTTATCTGTCTTATCATACAGACATGTTGTTATTAGCATGATTTTGTCTCATCATACAAACATGTTGTTATTAGCATGATGAGTCTCATTTATCTCGTCATACAAACATGTTGTATAGCATGATAAGTCTAATTTGTCTTATCATATAAACATGCTGTTATTAGCATAATGAGTCTCATTTGTCTCATCATACAAACATGTTGCTGTTAGCATGATGAGTCGTTTGTCTCATACAATTATGTTGTTATTAGCATGATTTTGTCTTATCATACAAACATGTTGTTATTAGCATAATGAGTCTCATTTGTCTCATCATACAAACATCTTATTATTAGCATGATAAGTCTTATTTGTCTCATCATACAAACATGCTGTTATTAGCATGATGAGTCTCATTTGTCTCATCATACAAACATGCTGTTATTAGCATGATGAGTCTCATTTGTCTCATAATACAAACATGTTTCATTTGTCTCATCACACAAGAATGTTTTTTTTAGCATAATGAGTCTCATTTGTCTCGTCATACAAACATGTTATTATTAGCATGATAAGTCTCATGTGTTTGATCCTACAAACATGTTATTAGCATGATGAGTCTCATTTGTCTCGTCTAACAAACATGTTATTATTAGCATAATGAGTCTCATTTGTCTCATCCTACAAACATGTTGTAATTAGCATGATAAATCTCATTTGTTTGATCCTACAAACATTTTGTTATTAGCATGATGAGTCTCATTTGTCTTGTCTAACAAACATGTTATTATTAGCATAATGAGTCTCATTTGTCTCATCCTACAAACATGTTGTAATTAGCATGATAAATCTCATTTGTTTGATCCTACAAACATTTTGTTATTAACATAATGAGTGTCATTTGTCTCATAACACAAACATGTTATTATTAGCATAATGAGTGTCATTTGTCTCATAACACAAACATGTTATTATTAGCATAATGAGTCTCATTTGTCTCATCATACAAGCATGTTACTATTAGCATGATGAGTGTCATTTGTCTCATAACACAAACATGTTATTATTAGCATAATGAGGCTCCTTATACACACCCAAAAAAAAAACCATTCTTTTTTTCTTCTACATTTACCCTTACAAGGACAGTAGTCATCTAAAGCAGTCTTCAGCTGAGCTGCAATATCTGTGTCTTTCATGTCCCCTAACATATCCAGTTAGTCAGCTTTTGCAACTTGGCTTGTTTTGGGCATTGAATCTACTTCTCTTCCCCCCCCCCCCCTTCCCCCCCCCCCCCCCCCCCCCCCCCCCCCCCCCCCCCCCCCCCCCCCCCCCCCCACCCCCCCCCCCCCCCCCCCGTTTTTTCTTCTTCCTCCACAATACGACCCTGACACCCACATGGGGAAATTTAATACTTTTCACAGAATAAAGAAAAGAAAATTAACACATCGTCTTAGAAAACATTTTTTTGTGTGATAAAAAATGTGGTGGGGGGTGGGGGGGGTAATGATTGTATCTGACCTTGGTGGGGGGGGGGGGGGATAAGATATCTAAGAATAATTTCAGTTAATAATTGAGTGTTGTTTTTTTAAATTTGTATTCTTGTTTCCTTGTTAGGATTGCCATACTTCATGTGATGAGAGCCAAGGATATCCAGTGAAAGAGGGAGAGAGGGAGGAATGGCAGGAAAGAGGGAGAAAATTATGATTGATGAATTCACGAAAAATACTAGTACAGGACGAACAGAATCACCAGAAATGTTGACACGTAAGTATGCAATCATCTGGGCTGTTTACTCAGGGAAAGATCAGTCTGTACAAGAAGAAGAAACCAGGTCCAGAGTAACTGCCCATGGCTAGTCATCTTGCCTGTGTTTTTCATACTCCACATGTAGAATGTAATAGGTCCTTTGCAAAACATTGTTCCCATCACAGTCCTTAGAAAAAGCTCTCTGTCTCCTGCCAGATCCCTATGTCATGTCTATTTTCATGTCACTGGTGTTTTCAGTATCTTGTACCCATTCTCCAGCTGTTTAGCCCCTGCCTCTGTTTCCATGTACCTTATCTCCTGTGTCTGTTGTGTCCAGCCACTGAAGCATTTAATTTAGCTAAAATATTTCTGAGGCACACTATACAGTTCACATTACTCAAGTAACATTGGCCCAGGCAGGAGGTGAATTATAACATCGAGTGTTTGCTTAGAAGTTGGCTGTCTGGGTGGCAAGGAACCAACAGGCTGCACACAAATAAGCCAGATCTGTAGAAGTGCTGTGCATGCAAAACTCAAATTCTGGAGCAAGAACCTGTCCAGAAGTGGACAGACAACCAGAACTGGCCAGTTGACACACATTGAATGTTGGCAGGAAGAGGAAGGCACTAAATGGTCAATCCTTGTTTCAAGAAAATCCTGTTTCAACATGTTGGTCAGCCCCTGCCTCTCCTTCCTGGTACCATGCCTTCATGTTGGTCAGCCCTTGCCTCTCCTTCCTGGTGTCATACCTTCATGTTGGTCAGCCCTTGCCTCTCCTTCCTGGTGTCGTACCTTCATGTTGGTCAGCCCTTGCCTCTCCTTCCTGGTACCATACCTTCATGTTGGTCAGCCCCTGCCTCTCCTTCCTGGTACCATGCCTTCATGTTGGTCAGCCCTTGCCTCTCCTTCCTGGTACCATACCTTCATGTTGGTCAGCCCTTGCCTCTCCTTCCTGGTACCATACCTTCATGTTGGTCAACCCCTTGTCTCTCCTTCCTGGTACCATGCCTTCATGTTGGTCAGCCCTTGCCTCTCCTTCCTGGTGTCGTACTTTCATGTTGGTCAGCCCTTGCCTCTCCTTCCTGGTGTCGTACCTTCATGTTGGTCAGCCCTTGCCTCTCCTTCCTGGTACCATACCTTCATGTTGGTCAGCCCTTGCCTTTCCTTCCTGGTACCGTACCTTCATGTTGGTCAGCCCTTGCCTCTCCTTCCTGGTGTCGTACCTTCATGTTGGTCAGCCCTTGCCTCTCCTTCCTGGTACCATACCTTCATGTTGGTCAGCCCCTGCCTCTCCTTCCTGGTACCATACCTTCATGTTGGTCAGCCCTTGCCTCTCCTTCCTGGTACCATACCTTCATGTTGGTCAACCCCTTGCCTCTCCTTCCTGGTACCATACCTTCATGTTGGTCAGCCCCTGCCTCTCCTTCCTGGTATCATACCTTCATGTAGGTCAGCCCTTGCCTCTCCTTCCTGGTACCGTACCTTCATGTTGGTCAACCCCTTGCCTCTCCTTCCTGGTACCATACCTTCATGTTGGTCAGCCCCTGCCTCTCCTTCCTGGTACCATGCCTTCATGTTGGTCAGCCCTTGTCTCTCCTTCCTGGTACCATACCTTCATGTTGGTCAGCCCCTGCCTCTCCTTCCTGGTACCATGCCTTCATGTTGGTCAGCCCTTGTCTCTCCTCCCTGGTAACATACCTTTATGTTGGTCAACTCTTGCCTCTCCTTCCTGGTACCATACCTTCATGTTGGTTAGCCCTTGCCTCTCCTTCCTGGTACCATACCTTTATGTTGGTCAGCCCTTGCCTCTCCTTCCTGGTACCATGCCTTCTGCTATTATTTTTTCCAGTCTGTCGTGATGCTTGATATGGCCAAAATATTTCAGCTTCTGGGACAAAGTGCTGTTTCTTTGTTGTTCAGATCAGTTAGAATGTCAGTATTTCTTCTTTTCTTTGTCCTTGGTATTCTGAGAATCATAAAGCCTCAATTTTTTTAAAATTCTGCCCTATCTTCAGGTCTAGTAAAGGGCAGTAGACTTGGCAGAATGTTCAGCTTCAGTTATTTTGGCTTCTGACAGAACTTTGCTAATGCAGTATCGACATGTGGTCTGAAGTGTACGATTTTCGCTGCCTGAGCTACTGAGGTTTGTGCTTAATGCAACACTGTGAGCTGTATTTTTCGCATGGAATATCTTTCATTTGTGCAGCAGTTAAGTCGTGGTGTTCAGTATGGCGGGTAGCCAGTTTATGTGTGGGCTGATGAAATATTTATGGCCAGCTTATCGTGTCCAACTGCTTCCATCAACGACAAAGTGTGTTTCTGGTGGCGACAGTGAGGGACATTTCATTTGATTTTTACTGGCAGAAACGGAGCAAGTATGATGTGACCTGATTGCAGTAAAGTTGAAACCTCGACTGAGACTAAGTCCCTGTTTTCTTCCTTAAGGACTGGTAAATAGTCTACAACTTTGATCCATATGTTGCTACAGGGTCTTGCAATTTTAACTTTATGATTTCCTTGCTGGTGCTTAACCGTAGACTTTGAACAGTGGATGGAAAATTAAAATTCTGTGGTTGCATGGAAAGTTATACATATTTTAATTTCTGTAGACATTCACATGTGTGGCTGTGGTGTCTGAAGACACACTTAGGCGGCTGGCGTGGTGCTGGTGTTAGGGCCGTGTCCTACTTTGTCATGCAGATACTTATGTACCCTGTTTTAAGCTTTGACTGTATACCTAATTAGGTGCCATCTCTGTAATAAAAGTTGACCTAATACATTTCCAGCCCTCTCTCTCTCTCTCTCTCTATCTCTCTCTCTCTATCATCCTTTGTGTACACCCTCTGAGACCTGTATTCTCCCATTTGGAGCACTAACTCTTGTCTGCTTACCTTCAACTTTTCCCTCCAGAAAAGTATTTTTTCTTCTATTTTTATATAGCATAAATATTTCAGTTATCTCTTTTTTTTTTATAATTATAATTTTTTTTTAAATTTCTATAAAGAACTCTTTTTATTTTGTCTCTTCAGACTATAATTTGATATAAATGTACATTTCAGGGAATAGATCACAACGTCCGGACACTTACAGGGGGCTTGGTCATACCTATGCCCCAGCCAGTCAGGGTGTGCGAAGCTCCTTCCCTGCTGCTGCTGCTGGTGGTGGAGTGGTTAGGAATCCTCAGCCTTACAGTGCTATAGATGCTGGCTTAGGGACTGCAGTAAATTTGGACAGAAAAAGTAACTTTTATGTACAGCAGGCAGCTCCAAGTGCTACAGTTGGTTTCCAGTCAACAAAACTGGAACATTCAGCACCCAGTCAGAAACCGTACGACCACATGACCTCCCTTCCAACTTCCTTGCCTGTTAGGCTTCCTTCAAGCACAAATGTTTCCATTCGTGGAGGGCGCATTATTCCTATTCAGTTTGACAGGGAAATGGTGAATCCTCATTATCAGGATAAACCCATGTTTGTTGACGACCTGGTGACTACAGCCTCTTACACTGGCAGCCAGCCGGCCCCTCCCACTTACTCCAGCTGTTCAGGCGGGAACAGCGACACACAACAGCCTCAGCCTCGAGTAGTTATTCATGAACCTGTACGTCCTCCTCAACCTGCTGGTTTATCGTCTAATATTGATCACGACTTATTGGAGCAACACCAGGAAGGAGATGATATGTTTGATGATGATAAATTGTTCAAGAAACCGCCTTCATTTAGTACATGTAAGTACAGTTTGTCCTGGTCAGTATTCTATCACCTCATTGGTCACATGTAAGTACAGCTTCTCTGGGGCATTATTATCTCACCTCATTGGTCACAGGTAAGTACAGTTTGTCTGGGGCATTATTCTCTCACCTCATTGGTCACATGATAATACAGTTTGTCTGGGGCAGTATTCTCTTACCTCATTGATCACATGTAAGTGCACGTTATTTTTAGCAGTTTTCTCTCACCCCATTGGTCACATGTAGGTTCAGTTTTTCTGGGGCAGTTTAATAATATCAACAACATCTAACATCCATGAATGAAGAATGTAAAACAAATAATATGAGAATCAACACTGAAAAGACAGAAGTAATGTCAATAGGAAAAAAGAAGACAGATCTAAACATAGCAATAGAATACAAAGGCATTAAACAGGCATCTGAGTTTAAATATCTGGGAACTACATTTACCGAAGATGGGAAATTGGATAAAGAAATTGACATTAGATGCAGTAAAGCAAACCAAGTATTGGTACAGCTAGCCCCCCTCTTACAGCATAAGACAATCCCAATCAGCACAAAGAAACATCTTATTCAAAGCATATTTATTCCAACTCTGTGCTACCAGTGCCAGACATGGTCACTCACAACAAACCATAAAAGAAAATTAGTAACCACGGAAATGAGATGTCTGAGAAGGGCTGTAGGAGTGACCATAAGAGATAAGATCAGGAATGAGATCATAAGAGAACAAGTCGGCACAGAACCAATTCTGGATTACATACAAAGACAGCAAGTGAAATGGTTTGCCCACTTAGAGAGAATGCCTTGTGACACCATACCATACAAAGCATACATGGAAAGAGAAGAAGGACGTAGAGCACGGGGTAGACCAAGAACAAGATGGAAGGATAACATCAGAGAAACTCTACAACAGCACGATGTGCCTATGGTTGAGGCAGCCAGAAGAGCTAAAAACATAACCTTATATCTCCCTCGACACCCACAGCGGTAAAAGAGGAAGTGAAGAAGAAGAATAAGTTTAATAATATACTTGCTGTCCTTTTTAGGATGGAATTTTTCGTCATTTGAAGCCCTACTCTGGCTCTTGCCAGGGGCCGCAATATAGCCTGGCCATAAATATGGCCTAAAGGCTGAACGCGGTTTCTGGGACCTCTCCACGGTGATCCTTATCCACATTGTGCCATCGTGTGTTTATCGCTTGGGTGATGTCCTGGTGGGGTAGAAAGTCAGTCAGTCCGGGGCAGTTTTCTCTCACCCCATTGGTCCTATGTAAGTACAGGTTATCTTTAGCAGTTTTCTCTCACCTTACTCTGTTGTATCTTTACACATAATTTGGTATCTTCCATTGCTGTACCCCCCCCCCCCCCCCCCCCAAATGTAATGTTCACTGTTTGAGAAGAAACGTTGTACATATGTGATGACAACAATACAAGTGAAATTTTTTCACTTATTGTGGTCAACTTGTCTTAAAATTAATTCTGACGCTAAAAAACTCTGTGAATAAGTGAATTATTTTTTCTGAATGTGGAGAAAACGTCCACAGTAAATATGGCATACCAGTCACGCATTAAACGCAGTAATGAGGAAGTAGAAACATTCACTTATTTTGAATATTTAGACTCAGTAGCTCTTACTCAATCTTTGGAGAAAAAGTCAGACATTTTAAACTGAAATGCTACAGAAAAATTCTTAGAATATTGTGGACAAAGAAGAGAAAAAACACCAAGGTCCAACATGATCCGATCTTTGAGGAGAATTGGCTCATAGACAGCATCTTGTCCTGAAAGCTGAGGTAGTTCGGCCATGTTAAGTGTCATGGTGGCTTGGGGAGAACAGAGATGGAGGGTGTGGTTTCTGAAAAATGAAGCAGAGGCCAATCTCAACGATGGTGCATTCATTGAAGATCCACTGGTTTTGAAAGCACATAGGGCAGGAGACTTCCTAGTGTGCCATGAAGAGAGCAACATTCTATAAAGGAAAAGCTGACTGATAATAGCTGGTTTTGCTAGTCAACACTCACCATCACTACGGGTCCCATGCCTCTTTAACCACAATAACTTATTCCCCGTGCGGGTTCCAAGGCCCCATTGTGGTGGAAGACAAGAACAAACCCACTGCCTTGACAACAAGCGTTACATAGGAGTCGACTAACTGAGGACTTCCTTGGAAGTCGAGTACATCTACTCGAGAGGCAAGGAACAATCAACTGCATACAAATAAGTCAGTAAAACGGATGTACACGCAAAACTCAGGTCCTGGCACAAAGTCCAAATGGACAAACAACCAGGGCTTTTCACCAGAGCTTAACGCCTGTGAAAAAAGAAGAAGAAGAATACTTATCTGGAAGAAAAAAAAGATAATGTACCAACAGTTTAGTGATAAATCTATTGTCCTTGTGTACGTTTCACAGAATGATACTTTCAGACCTGAGTGTTTCTATTCACATTGTTCTCCTCAGATCCAAAACTAAAACGAGGATTCTCAAACATTGTTGAAAACCAGAGTCTGGTATCGGAGGCCAGAGCAGCTGCCCATCTGCCAAATATCACACAAAGCACAAACTCTGTATCTCCAGCATCAGTCCCTAAGGATCTATGGGGAAGGGAGAAGCATCTGTTAACTGACATATTCTAAAACTGATGTTAAATGAAGCCTTGCGTATTATTATGGGATGTACAAGAGACATTTCCTGTGCATCAGTGAGATATCTATTTGATTTTCCAACCATGGACTAAAGATTCTGGATCTGGAGGGCTAGGGGATACCTTAAAATTTGTGCTGATAGAAAACACCCACAGCATCAAGCGCTTTTCGGTGAAAAGGGCGACAGACTGACGAGGGGACAATCATGGCTAGGTCGGGCAGAAGATATTATCAAGCAAATATGCAGTCTAACCAACATCATCCCTGGTGCAGAGTAGATACCCGTGCCTCATGCGTTTATTTGTACATTTTCCTGTATTGCAACACTTAACAGGCAATGCAGAGAGCAGAATCCTGTTGCTGTCAAAGCAGAAGTCAATGCTGTCATCAGTGAAAATTCAGAAGTGGCAGATGTATTGATCTACATAGATGAATCTCTTGTACGCCAGCAAAGAAATGCATGGCAAAATAGTTGAAGTAGCCAACAAGGCCATGACAACCAGCAGCATGATGATGGAGGTGACGGCAGTAACGCAAGCATTCGCATGGCTCGAAACACAAAACTACACTGGCGCATGTGTACTCAGTAATTCAATGAGTACGAATCAGAGGGTTCAGGCAGGTTCGGTACAGAAGTTCACTGTGGGTGGAGTCACCTTTATTTTAGTTCCGGGATACGCTGGCATCGATGGAAAATGAAAGAGATGATAGGTTGGCTGATTGGCTATCACTACCAACGGTCAACCTATGGATAATGCTGATATTATTAATGTCTGTTGAGAAATGGGAAAGGTAGAGGACTTTAGGGACAGTGAATTCACATCACTCTCCAAAATGATAGACTTGGGGGTTAAGATCGGCATAGCAAAAAACAAGACACACATAAGGCATACCAGAGGACTTGTTGATCAACGTAGAACTGATACTTTTAGCCACAGGACACTAGTGTTCATACTGAGGGAGGATCTGAGCACCTATGGACATGTCCGGAGTGCAATGATGACCCAACTAACTAACAAACTAACATATTCTGAAACTGAATTATGGGCTAGAGATTTAACTGTAGCACTGCTCATCAGGGTACGCTTGTAATGGACTACTAAATTTAGTCCCCAATCACTGCTCTTCTTCGTTGTTTTAAAGGAGGATTCCTTCTTTCATCCAAGTCTACTTTTATTAGCTCATGTCTGCTGCCAACTTTTTCACCTGATTGTTTCCTTAAATCTGTTCTGATCTCTGAACTGCTACATTTTAAACAACCATATTGTTTGTCAAGTCCCCTGAAGTTATGCATTCAGTCTGGATTAGCTTGACTTCCTAGAATATTTCCTGGTGCCTGTTTTCAGCCGAGTACCCCCAGAGGAAATCAATCTCACCTGAAAGTGAGTTGTTTAGATAGCTATCATTCAGTGTTTGCCCTTGCTTTTAGATCTCAAGACTGTAGTTTGTTTAAATAATTTTCCATCAGTGTTTGTCTTGTCTTATAGAGCTCTAGACCACACTTTGTTTATATACTTGTCCATCGGTGTTTGTCTTAACTTATAGAGCCTTAGACCACACTTTGTAGAAATACTTCTATAAATGTTTGCTTTGACCTATAGTACTCAAGACCACACTTTGTTTAAATACTTATCTGTAAATGTTTTCCTTGACTTATAGAGCTCCAGATGACATTTTGTTTAACTGGTTATCCATAAATTGTTGCCTTGACTTATAGAGCTCCAGACGACACTTTGTTTAACTAGTTATCCATAAATTGTTGCCTTGACTTATAGAGCTCCAGATGACACTTTGTTTAACTAGTTATCCATAAATTGTTGCCTTGACTTATAGAGCTCCAGACGACACTTTGTTTAACTGGTTATCCATAAATTGTTGCCTAGCTTATAGAACTCTAAAGTACACTTAGTTTAACTAGTTATCCATAAATGTTTCCCTTGACCTATAGAGCTCTAGACCTAGGTGGTTAAGATCACTGTGTGATTTTCTTCTTCAGGACGTCTGAACTGGTGGGCAGAGCTGCGCGTCTGCCAGAGACTCCTTCCCATGGCAACCAGTGGAGATGGTAACTGTCTGCTGCATGCAGCCTCTCTGGGTAAGGCAACCAGTGTCAGATCTTGCTGCATTTTCTTGTCTCTGAGACAGGAGAGTCTGGCTTTCATCATAAACACACTTAACATGTCAATGATCAGTTCTAGAATGGATTATGTAAAACATCCTTGATCATTTCATAAACACTATTGTGAATATGATCAGGAAAAGTCATTATTGTTACTGTTATTTTTGCTTCTGAAGAGAACTGGTTGCTTATTAAGTAACCTGATTGTACAACCCAGTGAGAAGAAATGAACAGTTTGTAAACATGACATCCCAAACCTTTTGTACTTGACTGAGTCACTCCTGTTCTACCTTTGGGTGTAGAGGTTTGCCAGAGAGGTCACCAAATTTCTCTATCAGCAGTTTTATTTGTTTGTTTCGGAACTTACTACCCATGATTATTTCTTATCACTGGCACGTTTTTGCAGTGATGTGAGCTACTTGGTACCAGAACTGGAACTAGAATAGATAGGAAGTGTGTCATTTCAGGTAAATTAGTGTTACGTTAAAAAAATATATATATATACAAAAATATACCATTCAAAACTCTTTTCTTAATATCTTTGAAAGAAATGGAATGGGTAACTTAGAAGAAAAAAACAATACACGTTCTGTGTGACATGGCATCCAAGTTGGACAGCTGTTGAAGGGACAGGATTGCACAGTTGGACACCAAGAAAGAAGATACTAGGTAGTTTGGCATCATTGTATTGAGGATGATTGTATCAGAAATGCTCACAACACAGAAGAATGAGGACAGACTTGATGATCAATGCCAGATGGCAAAGCAAAAAGAAAAACATTTTGTTAAGCCTGGATTTATTCACTTATAGAAATGGTAATAGGAAGAACGCCACTTTAGTTCTTTGATTTGTAAATTAACCCCTCCCCCCCCCCCCCCTCCAAGTATATGTTTAGAAACATGAAATTGTTTAGTTAATATATGCTAAGTGAACATATGGATTGGCACCTGAGACAACAGATCATGTCCTCCAAGACTGTTCCAAATACAACATATCAAGGCAAAACTTTTGGCCAAGAGAAACATCGATGCAAGTCAAACTTTATGGGCACTGAGTAAATTTTAAAAAAAACAGTGAAATTCATACTAGAGACAACATTGCAGATATAGAAAATCTATTTCAAGTGAACAAAAGAAGAAGAAGAAGCTAAGTGAACATTTGAATAAACATGGTCTGTTTTATCTAAGTAGTTGACAGCTACAGCTGTATCAACACTTTTATTCAACATTTGCTTTATTCATTTATTATCTTAAACCTATGGTTTAGTAAACATAAAAAATCAGTGTCATTTTGTTGAAATATGTATTTCAGGTCATTTACTTTGATAATAAAGTTAGAGTATATCAGACATATTGGCTGTGTTTCAGCAATGTGGGGTATTCATGTTAGAGTATATCAGACATATTGGGTGTGTTTCAGCAATGTGGGGTATTCATGTTAGAGTATGTCAGACATATTGGGTGTGTTTCAGCAATGTGGGGTATTCATGTTAGAGTATGTCAGACATATTGGCTGTGTTTCAGCAATGTGGGGTATTCGTGTTAGAGTATGTCAGACATATTGGGTGTGTTTCAGCAATGTGGGGTATTCATGTTAGAGTATGTCAGATATATTGGCTGTGTTTCAGCAATGTGGGGTATTCATGTTAGAGTATGTAAGACATATTGGCTGTGTTTCAGCAATGTGGGGTATTCATGTTAGAGTATGTCAGACATATTGGCTGTGTTTCAGCAATGTGGGGTATTCATGTTAGAGTATGTCAGACATATTGGGTGTGTTTCAGCAATGTGGGGCATTCATGTTAGAGTATGTCAGACATATTGGCTGTGTTTCAGCAATGTGGGGTATTCATGTTAGAGTATGTCAGACATATTGGCTGTGTTTCAGCAATGTGGGGTATTCATGTTAGAGTATGTCAGACATTTTGGGTGTGTTTCAGCAATGTGGGGTTTTCATGTTAGAGTATGTCAGACATATTGGCTGTGTTTCAGCAATGTGGGGTATTCATGTTAGAGTATGTCAGACATATTGGCTGTGTTTCAGCAATGTGGGGTATTCATGTTAGAGTATGTTAATATTAGGTGTGTTTCAGCAATGTGGGGTATTCATGTTAGAGTATGTCAGACATATTGGCTGTGTTTCAGCAATGTGGGGTATTCATGTTAGAGTGTGTCAGACATATTGGCTGTGTTTCAGCAATGTGGGGTATTCATGTTAGAGTGTGTCAGACATATTGGCTGTGTTTCAGCAATGTGGGGTATTCATGTTAGAGTATGTCAGACATATTGGCTGTGTTTCAGCAATGTGGGGTATTCATGTTAGAGTATGTCAGACTTATTGGGTGTATTTCAGCAATGTGGGGTATTCATGTTAGAGTATGTCAGACATATTGGCTGTGTTTCAGCAATGTGGGGTATTCATGTTAGAGTATGTCAGACATATTGGCTGTGTTTCAGCAATGTGGGGTATTCATGTTAGAGTATGTCAGACATATTGGCTGTGTTTCAGCAATGTGGGGTATTCATGTTAGAGTATGTCAGACATATTGGCTGTGTTTCAGCAATGTGGGGTTTTCATGTTAGAGTATGTCAGACATATTGGCTGTGTTTCAGCAATGTGGGGTATTCATGACCGGCAGCTGATATTGAGGAAAGAATTGCATGAGACGCTGACCAAAGCCCCATACAAGGATGCTCTGTACAGACGATGGCGCTACCAGCAGACTATGAATAACAAGCAGGTTAGTTCGCCGACCTCATCATCCAACATCTGATTTAGTTTGGTTTTGTTGTTGTTATTGTCCTTTCTGACTCTGTGATAGAGAGAAAAAAAATCTTACTTTGTTCATCTTCTTTTGTCTTTTTTTGTCCTCTTTATGTATCTTCTTAATCCCACTGACTACCAAGTTCAACTGCACTGCACTTTCCCAAATGCCAAATATTTCTAGTGTGTACTAAAAAAAAATGTCATAGCTTCCTAGTTGTTTAACTAAACTCATATTGTTCTGTATTTTTGCACCAAACTGAAAAGAGAACAAACTTGAAGAATAAAAAGTGGGTAATCAAGTTTTGTGACATTATCATAAGGCTGTGGATTGGTGCAAAAAAAAAAAAAGGCAACATATTTTTTTTTTTTCTGACAGCAATGTAGACTAACAAAAGTGCCATAACTTGACAACTATTGAACATATATATGTCCCGGTGGGGGTTCCAGGGCCCTTTTGTGGGGAAAACAAGAATAGACCCACTACCTCCCCAATAAGCATGTCATAGGAGTCAACTAATTGGGGACTTCATTTAATGTCAGAGTGCCTCTGCCCGAGCGGCAAGGAACAGCAACTGCACACAAGCCATTCTCAGGCTCTGGCACAATCTCAGGCTCTGGCACAAAGCCAAATTGATGAACAACCAGAACTTTCAACAGGAGCTTACATCCAGTGAACAAAGAAGGAAAACATAAATTCATATTTTATATTTTTACACCAGATTGAAGAGAACAAATTTCAAGAACAAAAATTGAAAAATCTTGTTTTTACTTCATCATCATCAGTCTTTAGATATGTACAAAAAAAAGGGCTACCAAAAAATCTTCTATCTGACAGCAGTATATACTAAATTTCATGACATATAAAACATGAAGTTACATATTGCCGAAACAATCCTAAGTGAGAGCTTACCTAATTGAGATACAATTCTGCAACTTCAATGGTTGTTGTAAATTTTGCACCAAGAATTTCTGATGCAGTGTGGGTCCTGATTGTCCACACACAAAAAACAGTCACAATGTCAGTCCTTTCCTAAACTAGCCATTATAGGAAACAAACCCTGTCAACCTCCAGGATTGCATTGTGAAATGATTGTTCACTAAACTCTAAACCACAGAGCTGTCATGTACACACTCTGCACCAGCAAGCACCTGAAGCAAGTACACACAAGTCTGTACAAACTTCTGAAACATAAAATACCTGAGATCCCTGATTAGCTCAACACTATAATTTTGGTTGTAACTATGTTTTTGATGGCAGTTCATAAGAAATATCAGTATCAAAGTCATCAAACTGTTCAGAAATATCTTTACCTGCACTTTCTGATTTCAAAAAAAAAGAAAAAAGAAAAATCCACCTACAGAATCGGAAATGTTCCCAAAAATGCTGCCACCACAACTTTGGTGATCAGGCGCCATGATCAGAACAACCACCTACCGCAGCGCTTTTCACCTGGCGATCCACGGGTCAGATTGGCCATGCAGAGGCCTAGCAAGTGGCGCGCGGATCTTCTACCAGTTTTGTTGTTGTTGTTATATTAATGAATTTTCCAAAATTGTGGTCCCTGAGTAAACTCATTTGAATGGCCCTGCCCTAACATGTCACCAACAGGGGAGCTCGCTAGAAAATTCATACAAAATTTACTTTGAACACTACGGAAAATACATAGTGAAATGAATGGGCTAATGACATCAAGCTACATTGATCACATACTACTTGATTGTTTTAATGATGGTGAGCATCTAAAGTTACAGTCGCATACTACTTGATTGTTTTAATGATGGTGAGCATCTAAAGTTACAGTCGCATACTACTTGATTGTTTTAATGATGGTGAGCATCTAAAGTTACAGTCGCAGACTACTTGATTGTTTTAATGACGGTGAGCATCTAAAGTTACAGTCGCATACTACTTGATTGTCTTAATTATGGTGAGCATCTAAAGTTACAGTCGCATACTACATGATTGTCTTAATGATGGTGAGCATCTAAAGTTACAGTCGCATACTACTTGATTGTTTTAATGACGGTTAGCATCTAAAGTTACAGTCGTATACTACTTGATTGTTTTAATGATGGTGAGCATCTAAAGTTACGATCACATACTACTTGATTGTTTTAATGATGGTGAGCATCTAAAGTTACAGTCGCATACTACTTGATTGTTTTAATGATGGTGAGCATCTAAAGTTATGATCGCAAGGGATGCGATTAAAGTAGCCAAGTGTAACCATTGAATGATTACAAAACGTTTGAAAATGCTAGTCACTTAGTCAGTGGGTTAGTCCTCACTCACCCTGTGAGAGAGAAAATCTGACTTTATCTTCTTTTGTCAGCTAAAAGTATGGATAAATATAATATCTTGACAGATACCAATCTAAATACAATTTCACGTATATACTACAGCCATTATAGTAAGAATTTTGAGCAAGCACCCCAATGATCAGAAAGAAGCTGTTGAATGCTCACGCCACATTGAGTTGTGAGTTTCCCCTCCACTTCTTGTTTAGTTGATATTTATTTGGTTTACACTCACCTTGTAAGTGTGACTTATTTTTATACATTAAGTTTACAATGGAACATTGTGAATATTAAGTTTATGTATTTGATTTACACTAACATCTTGTCAGTATCTCTGAGATTAAATTAATATATATTTGGTTTACAGTGAGACCTAGCAAAAATGACTTGTGTTAATGTATTTGATTTACAGTCACACCTTGTAAATATATCTCATTGTATGTGCTTGCTCCGCAGTCTGGGCTTGTGTTCAGCGAGGCTGAGTGGGAGGAGGAGTGGACAAACATACTTCGTCTGGCTTCTCCCTTGCCACGAGGGGCACCTGGCCCAGCCAGACCTGGCAGTTGTCATGACAATCTGGGATCACAACGGTGGGTGTTGTTGTTGTTTGGCTGTGTGGTGGAAACACTGAGATCAACATTTAGAACTTGATGTTGTCTGATTGTATGGTGGGAACATTGAGATAACATTTAGAACTTGATGTTGTCTGATTGTATGGTGGGAACACTGAGATCAACATTTAGAACTTGATGTTGTCTGATTGTGTAGTGGAAACACTGAGATCAACATTTAGAACTTGATGTTGTCTGATTGTGTGGTGGAAACATTGAGATCAACATTTAGAACTTGATGTTGTCTGATTGTGTGGTGGAAACACTGAGATCAACATTTGGAACTTGATGTTGTCTGATTGTGTGGTGCGAACATTGAGATAACTTTTAGAACTTGATGTTGTCTGATTGTGTGGTGGAAACACTGAGATCAACATTTAGAACTTGATGTTGTCTGATTGTGTGGTGGAAACACTGAGATAACATTTAGAACTTGATGTTGTCTGATTGTGTGGTGGGAACACTGAGATCAACATTTAGAACTTGATGTTGTCTGATTGTGTGGTGGGAACACTGAGATCAACATTTAGAACTTGATGTTGTCTGATTGTGTGGTGGGAACACTGAGATCAACATTTAGAACTTGTTGTTGTCTGATTGTGTGGTGGGAACATTGAGATAACATTTAGAACTTGATGTTGTCTGATTGTGTGGTGGGAACATTGAGATAACATTTAGAACTTGATGTTGTCTGATTGTGTGGTGGGAACACTGAGATCAACATTTAGAACTTGATGTGGTCTGATTGTGTGGTGGGAACACTGAGATCAACATTTAGAACTTGATGTTGTCTGATTGTGTGGTGGGAACACTGAGATCAACATTTAGAACTTGTTGTTGTCTGATTGTGTGGTGGGAACATTGAGATAACATTTAGAACTTGATGTTGTCTGATTGTGTGGTGGGAACATTGAGATAACATTTAGAACTTGATGTTGTCTGATTGTGTGGTATATTTATTATTTGAGGTACTTTAGGGAAGGAGACACAAGAGGCAGGAGTCAACCAGCACAAAGATATACAGGATATTGGAGCTACCTTGGGGAGAGACACAAGAGGCAGGGGTCAACCAGCATAAAGATAGACAGGATATTTGAGGTACCTTGGGGAGAGACGCAAGAGGCAGGAGTCAACCAGCACAAAGATATACAGGATATTGGAGCTACCTTGGGAAGAGAGTTACAAATGGCAGAAGATTTGGCAAGAGGTTGAGAAGCTTTCCAACAGATCATAATAGGATTGGCTTTCTGCAGAGGACCTGCTACATGATGAGGGTGACGCCCCAAGCTTGCATTCAGCAGTGTTGAGTGGCATGAAGAGTGACTAAACATAATTCATCTGTCTTCAGCCTATTATTTGTTTCTTTTCACTGCTCATTGAATGTTTGCGGTTTATTATATCATGTCCTTGCATGATTACTGCCAAAGATGGAAACTCAAGATTAAAAGATTAACTGTGCAAAGACGGTCTACACAATCTTTACCAAAAGCCACCAAGTAGCAAGGAAGAATATTAACCTGAGGTTAGACAAACACCAAGTGATGAAAGAAGAGCATCCCACATACCTTGGAGTCACACTTGACCCGCAGCTCAGCCTCAAGAACCATATTGAAAACATCAGGAATAAGGCATTGAGGCGGTTACAGTTATTAAAGAGACTTGCAGGTACATCATGGGGATCAGACAAGGAAACTCTGAGGGGCTTATATCTAGGATATGTTCGCTCTGTGATAGAGTACAACAACTCACTGCTTACAACTTGCTCCAAAACTAACCTAGAGACTCTTGACAGAGTACAAAATAATGCCCTCCGATTAATCTGCGGAGCTATGCAGTCTACACCAACTGCTGCATGTGAAATCCATACAAATGTGGAACCCCTCGGGTTGCGGAGAGAAAAAGCCACTTTAGAAATTTATGAAAGATGCGTTAGGAAAAATCGTAACCATCCTAATAGACATCTTGTAGAAAACTGGGAACCCAAACAAAGAATAAAGCACAAATCGGTTTTACACTGTGTTAATGAAATTCAGGACAGATACCACCTCCCAGAAAGACGTCAAGGAATTCAGAATGTTGCAAAAAACCTACCACCACATGCTCGCTTTGAAGCTCCAGAAGTCAAAACTAAATTGGTAGGCGAAGAAACCAAACAGTCCGACCCAATCGCTCTTATGAACTCATCACTAAAGACCGTTGATTCTTACCCCCAAGAATGGATACATGTCTATACTGATGGATCAGCATTTAAAGCTACCATTAAAGCAGGTTACGGAATCTACATAGGTTATCCCGATGGATCTGTTGAAGAGATTTTTGATGCATGCGGGGAATTCTGTTCAAACTATGAAGCTGAAATAATTGCACTGGATACAGCAGTATACCACCTAAAGACTGTAATGGTCCAAAATATTGTCATCTTCACAGATTCAATGTCTGCCCTTCAAGCTCTGGAGGGCAATGAACGCTGCAGAACTGACATAGGCAAGATAATCCTGGATGCCGATCAGCTTATTACCTCATACAACATCAGAATAGTGATGCAGTGGATTCCAGGTCACTCCGGCACACCAGGTAATGACAGAGCTGACAGATTGGCAAAGAAAGGAGCAACACAAGAACAACCACCTACAGCGACAACCCTCCAGACAGCAAAAACACTGATAAGAGCTATAAACAAAGAGACTTGGTTGAACAGATGGGTCATGGGAGAAACTGGAAGAGAGGTTTATAGACATATGTCTGGCCCTGATCCTAATGACAGCATTAACCATCTAACAAGAAGGGACCAGGCCACCATCTTCAGACTTAGAACGCAACATACTCCACTCAATGGACACCTAAACAGAATACAGCCACAACACTCCCCAGAGTGCCAGCTATGTAACTACCCCTACGAAACTGTTGAACACCATCTCTTTGAGTGCCCAAAACTCAGTGAGACAAGAAGAACGCTACTCCCTCCGAGACCAGACAAGTGGAACACCTTGTACGGAGGAAAAGAACAGCTTGTGAAAACATGCAAATTCCACTACATGGCATTGGGCCAAAGGGCGAAAGCTCATGCGCCGCTGGATCGATAACAACAACAACATATCATGTCCTATAATTTAACTGCATAAGTGTGCAAGGCAGATTTAATCAGTGATTGCATATTATCATGCAGTAGAACAGTGATTCTCAACCTTCCTAATGTAGCCACCCTTGAATACAGTTTCTCATGCGGTGGTGAACCCCAGACATGCAATAATTTTCATTGCTACTGCTTAACTTGAGTGAATATGTATTTTTCGATGGTCTTAGGCGACCCATGTGAAAGGGTCATTTGACCAAAAAAAAAAGGGTCACGGCCCATAGGTTGAGAACCGCTTCAGTATGACAATAGCTGATTAAAAGGCTTAAAATTTATAGTACGATTTGCAGCTTCCAGCCATCACATATACTCAGTGAAACACACATAATTGACAGACAGGCCAAGGAGTTGTCCAGAGTTTATGTTTAAAACTAAACTCCACTAATTATCTCAAATATTTTCCCATAAGGTTCCGGGGCCCCATTGTAGGGGGGGAAAAGAGACCCACTGCGTCCCCTAATCAAGCATGTGGTAGGAGTCGACTGACTAGTGTCTTCTTTAAAAGTCAGAATGCGTATGCCTGAGAGACAAGGAACCAACAATCTGCATATAGATAAGCCAGATCTGTAAAATGATTGTGGATGCAACACTCAGGTTCTGGAACAGAATTAAAGTCCAATGGTGGATGAACAACCAGGACTTTCTGCCAGAGTTACAGTCAGGGAACGAGAAGAAGAGGATTTAAATTATTGACTGCACAGATAAAACTAAAGTAAATGTGAACTTTAATTGTAAATAACTGTTGTCTGTCTGCACAGATAAAACTAAAGTAAATGTGAACTTTAATTGTAAATAACTGTTGTCTGCACAGATAAAACTAAAGTAAATGTGAACCTTACTAGTAAATAACTGTTGTCTGCACAGATAAAACTAAAGTAAATGTGAACTTTAATAGTAAATAACTGCTGTCTGTCTGCACAGATAAAACTAAAGTAAATGTGAACTTTAATAGTAAATAACTGTTGTCTGTCTGCACAGATAAAACTAAAGTAAATGTGAACTTTAATAGTAAATAAGTGTTGTCTGCACAGATAAAACTAAAGTAAATGTGAACTTTAATAGTAAATAACTGTTGTCTGCACAGATAAAACTAAAGTAAATGTGAACTTTACTAGTAAATAACTGTTGTCTGCACAGATAAAACTAAAGTAAATGTGAACTTTAATTGTAAATAACTGTTGTCTGCACAGATAAAACTAAAGTAAATGTGAACTTTACTAGTAAATAACTGTTGTCTGCACAGATAAAACTAAAGTAAATGTGAACTTTAATTGTAAATAACTGTTGTCTGCACAGATAAAACTAAAGTAAATGTGAACTTTAATTGTAAATAACTGTTGTCTGCACAGATAAAACTAAAGTAAATGTGAACTTTACTAGTAAATAACTGTTGTCTGCACAGATAAAACTAAAGTAAATGTGAACTTTAATAGTAAATAACTGTTGTCTGCACAGATAAAACTAAAGTAAATGTGAACTTTACTAGTAAATAACTGTTGTCTGCACAGATAAAACTAAAGTAAATGTGAACTTTAATAGTAAATAACTGTTGTCTGCACAGATAAAACTAAAGTAAATGTGAACTTTACTAGTAAATAACTGTTGTCTGCACAGATAAAACTAAAGTAAATGTGAACTTTAATAGTAAATAACTGTTGTCTGCACAGATAAAACTAAAGTAAATGTGAACTTTAATAGTAAATAACTGCTGTCTGTCTGCACAGATAAAACTAAAGTAAATGTGAACTTTAATAGTAAATAACTGTTGTCTGTCTGCACAGATAAAACTAAAGCAAATGTGAACTTTAATTGTAGATAACTGTTGTCTGCACAGATAAAACTAAAGTAAATGTGAACTTTAATAGTAAATAACTGTTGTCTGCACAGATAAAACTAAAGTAAATGTGAACTTTAATTGTAAATAACTGTTGTCTGCACAGATAAAACTAAAGTAAATGTGAACTTTAATAGTAAATAACTGTTGTCTGCACAGATAAAACTAAAGTAAATGTGAACTTTAATAGTAAATAACTGCTGTCTGTCTGCACAGATAAAACTAAAGTAAATGTGAACTTTACTAGTAAATAACTGTTGTCTGCACAGATAAAACTAAAGTAAATGTGAACTTTAATAGTAAATAACTGTTGTCTGTCTGCACAGATAAAACTAAAGTAAATGTGAACTTTAATTGTAAATAACTGTTGTCTGCACAGATAAAACTAAAGTAAATGTGAACTTTAATAGTAAATAACTGCTGTCTGTCTGCACAGATAAAACTAAAGTAAATGTGAACTTTAATAGTAAATAACTGCTATCTGTCTGCACAGATAAAACTAAAGTAAATGTGAACTTTAATTGTAAATAACTGTTGTCTGCACAGATAAAACTAAAGTAAATGTGAACTTTAATTGTAAATAACTGTTGTCTGCACAGATAAAACTAAAGTAAATGTGAACTTTAATAGTAAATAACTGTTGTCTACACAGATTTGAAGAACCAGTTGTGTATGAAAGTCTGGAGGAGTTCCACGTGTTTGTGCTGGCCCACGTTCTCCAACGACCTATTATCGTAGTTGCTGACACTATCCTCAAAGACTCCAACGGTGAAGCTTTAGCTCCCATACCTTTCCCTGGGATCTACCTGCCCCTGGAGGTGACGTCTGTGTTTAGGTTTCCCCTGTTGCTTACCTACGATGCTGCTCACTTCTCCGCACTGGTCCCCATGGAGCAGAATCCCGTGTCTCCGCTCCAGTTGCCAGGTATGTATACATTTTGTTGTTTCATAAATGAACTCAGTACTCAATTTTGTTTTGTTGAGTTTCTTCTTCTTGACTTTGACTGACTGTAAACTCCAGCGGAACCATTCTGGTTGTTCGTCCATTTCTGGACTTAGTCTGGTTCTAGTTTATGCGCATCCATTTTACATATCTGACTTATTTGTATGCAGACTGTTGGTTTCATGCCTCTCAGACAGAAGCACTCTGACTTCTAAGGGTACACCCCTAATTAGTCAATTTTTATGAGATTCTTATTAGGAGGTAGCAATTCTGTTCTTTTTTTCCCCAAAATGGAAATTTTGAGTTCACTAACAAATATTTATACTTTCTGTTGTTATTCTTGGTTTAGAAACAAAATTAATGGAAGGATTGACTTCTGGTAAAGGGGCAGAGGTCAATCATCATGTCGGTGGGAACACAAAAATTCAAGACACCCAAGGTTTTAAAACACATGAGACGTGGGAATTGGTGATGTATTGAGAATCATTTCAGCAGCTTGTGAAAGGGCTTACTATAAACACAGTGACTAAAACAATCACGTTTTATGTAACTGGCCGATGGTTACGCTTTATGTGACTGGCTGACGGTTATGCTTTATGTAACTGGCCAACGCTTATGCTTTATGTGACTAGCCGGCAGTTACGCTTTATGTGACTGGCCGACGGTTACGCTTTATATTACTGACCAACGCTTACGCTTTATGTGACTGGCTGACGGTTACGCCTTATGTCACTGCCCGACGGTTACGCTTTATGTGGCTGTCTGACGGTTACCCTTTATGTGTCTGGCCGACGGTTATGCTTTATGTGACTGGCCGACGGTTATGCTTTCTGTAACTCTGACGGTTACGCTTTATGTGACTTTCCGACGGTTACGCTTTTTGTAACTGTCTAGCGGTTACTCTTGGCAGATGAAAATGAGAAAAGAGCAAGCTCAGTAAGCTACACAGGCTAACATTAATATTATTAGAAGAGCTATCACAAAAAAAGACTATTTGTAGCCTGTGTTTCTGGTAAACTCTCTTTCTTTTCTCACCAGCTGTAAGCCCCGGATGAAAGTCCTGGTTATTTGGACTTTGGCTTTGAGGCAGTGCCTGAGTGTTGCGTGTACGTCTGTTTTACTGACTTTTTTGTCTGCATTTGGTTGTTCCCTGCTGCTCGTACAGATGCACTCCAACTTCGAAGGAAGATCCCAGTTAGTTGACTCCTGTGACAGTGGGTCTCTTCTTGTTTCCTCTAGTGGGACCCTGCAACCCACACAGGGCTTTCTTGTATACACATATTGGGGTCCTCTCCGGTGCCTGAGAGTTGATGCTCTATTCTGAAATTCTCCTAGGGGGGGGGGGGGGGTGCAACACTTGCTTGTCCAGAACACACACGAAACCTCTCAAGATTGATTAGCCAAATGTTATGGCTTGTACACGGGTGTCTGTGTAATACTGTCAGTCTGCTTTAGTTTCTCTGTGTAGTGGTCTTTTTTGTGTTCACCTATAAACGCTGCTGGAAAGTTCTGGTTGTTCGTCCACTTCTGGACTCAAGTCCTGTTCCAGAAACTCAGTGTTGCATGCACATACTTTCATTGATCTGACTCATTTGTATGCAGACATACTCGCCTCTTAGGCAGATGCACTCGGTCTTTGAAGGAAGTTCCCATTTAGTCGACTCTTACGACATGAACCAGAACTCACACAGTGATCTGGTGTAGTGATGCCAGTTCAGTTTGTTTATGTGGATGGTTTGCCTTGTCATGAGATATGGTTGAATTCAGTGATACTCTTTGTTTCTTTCAGCCGCTATACCATTACAAGACCCAGAGTTGAATCTGCTGCCCTTACACTTCCACATAGACCCAGGGCCAAAGGTGGACTGGGGTCAAGGATTTGACCTTGAGGCTCAGCAGGAGGAGCCCCTGAAACTTCTGCAGAGATTCCTGGAGCTGGAGAGACTGCCGCTGAAACTGGCTGATGTCAACGGTGACAGCGACCGGGGATCTTGTGGCTCTCAGGATTCTGATGACACCAGCACCTTGGCCAGGGACAAGGACAAGAAGAAGAAAGATGCCAGGATGTCACAGCAGGTGCAGACAGTTGCCAGGCAGTTTGGCAGCATCGGCAAGAGCATGGGGAAAAAACTGAAACAGCTGGGAAAGGGAAAGGGGGAGAGAACTCGTCCACCCAGTGTTGGCAATGAAATTACTCAAAGCACCAGAGTGCATTCAAATTATGGAAATCAAGGAAATGAGACAGTTTTAGTTGCAAAACTATCAGAGAAGCGAGGAAAACAACAACAAGAAATGGTTCAGAACTATTTGAAAGATGCCAGAGAAAGGTTTGAGGCCGATCGAGAATTAAAGCGGCGAAGTGATATGGAGTTGCGAAGCAGAGTCAATCCGTGTCCAGACATTATCTGTAGCACTCCTGGATGTGGAATGTCTGCGTCTCCTCAGACCAACTACTACTGCTACCGCTGTTTTGCCGCCCATCAGCGAGAGTCATCAACCTCACACAAAGCCAGTGGAAACTTTATTTACAACACTTTTCCTCGAAGAGACAGCCAGACGATTTCATCCCACATCACCGCAGATGAGATCTTTAAAATCGGCAAATCAAAGTTCTATACTTCTAGCAACGAGGATCTAGACAGACTGGTCTCTGCTGCACCTCACGGAAACAAGCAACCGACACCTTCTTACAATGTCAATGATTCCAGGGTGAGGTCCCCTTCTCCTGACTACGACAACTGTTCTGATCTTGGCCTTGCCAGGGCAGAAAGGCTTCCATCCTCCAGTCCCCAGACAGTACACAGACAGTACCCGGAGCAGCGGCACCAGTGCCGCACGCCCGGTTGTGATTTCTATGGGAGTTACCAATCGGACGGCTTGTGCTCAAAATGTTACCAGAGACAATACCAAGACAGCCTGTCCAGGGCTACCCTGGGAATTACCAAGTTGTGATCGTTGAGAATTGCCTTGTGTCCTCGAGTCTGCCAGTACTTTTGTTTTGTTACATGTTAACTTGCCTGTTTGGATGCAATGATAATCTGCTGATTATGTCATTCATCTTCAGGTTGTCTGTCTATACTTGGACTCTATGTCTAGTTAATAATCATTGTCACACTTTGTTTCATGTTTAATTCTGGTGATTGTTTTACAGATTTATAAACATAATATGTTAGCATACCTCATAATAGCTTACCCTGGTAAGTGATGCATATTTTTTACACATTTTAAGAGTTAATTGTGGTTGACTTTTCTGATTTTATTGTTATTTTTTATGTTGCAACAAATATTTTAAAGTTCAGTTTATGTGTCATATTTTTATCTCAAGATCTTTTATCTAAAAAAGAAACAGCTTCGTTTATAATTTAGGTTTATGCATTTTAATTTTGCTTCTGGTAATGATGTTGGATGTTCTGTAGGGATGTGGTGAAGGGGTTTGAAGTGAAGAACTAGCTATTGTATTCCTACCCATCCTAGCAGAAACACTTCTGGCACTATCAACTAAGCCATTATGGATATTTATTAATTCTGTCACATGGTCTTCTTGCTGTCATTCTCTGACTGTACACATGTCATTACATCCTTTTTGTTGCTGTCCTTCTCTGACTGTACTCACGTCATTAAATTCTTGTTGTTGCTGTCCTTCTCTGACTGTACACATGTCATTGCATTCTTGCTGCTGTCCTTCTCTGACTGTACACATGTCATTACATCCTTGTTGTTGCTGTCCTTCTCTGACTGTACGCATGTCATTACATTCTTGTTGCTGTCCTTCTCTGACTGTACTCATGTCATTACATTCTTGTTGTTGCTTTCCTTTTCTGACTACACATGTCATTACATTCTTGTTGTTGCTGTCCTTCTCTGACTGTACACATGTCATTACATTCTTGTTGTTGCTGTCCTTCTCTGACTGTACACATGTCATTACATTCTTGTTGTTGTTTTCTTTTTTTGACTACACATGTCATTACATTCTTGTTGTTGCTGTCCTTCTCTGACTGTACACATGTCATTATATTCTTGTTGTTACTGTCCTTCTCTGACTGTACACATGTCATTACATTCTTGTTGTTGCTGTCCTTCTCTGACTGTACACATGTCATTACATTCTTGTTGTTGTTTTCTTTTTTTGACTACACATGTCATTACATTCTTGTTGCTTTCCTTCTCTGACTGTACACATGTCATTATATTCTTGTTGTTGCTCTCCTTCTCTGACTGTACACATGTCATTTTATTCTTGTTGTTGCTGTCCTTCTCTTACTGTACACATGTCATTTTATTCTTGTTGTTGCTCTCCTTCTCTTACTGTACACATGTCATTATATTCTTGTTGTTGCTGTCCTTCTCTTACTGTACACATGTCATTTTATTCTTGTTGTTGCTCTCCTTCTCTGACTGTACACATGTCATTATATTCTTGTTGTTGCTCTCCTTCTCTGACTGTACACATGTCATTATATACGCTGTTATGTGATGTCTGAACCATACAGAACTCTGTTATGTGATGTCTGAACCGTACAGAACACTGTGATGTGATGTCTGAACCGTACAGAACACAGTTATGTGATGTCTGAACCGTACAGAACACTGTTATGTGATGTCTGAACCATACAGAACTCTGTTATGTGATGTCTGAACCATACAGAACACTGTTATGTGATGTCTGAACCGTACAGAACACAGTTATGTGATGTCTGAACCATACAGAACACAGTTATGTGATGTCTGAACCGTACAGAACACTGTTATGTGATGTCTGAACCGTACAGAACTCAGTTATGTGATGTCTGAACCATACAGAACACTGTTATGTGATGTCTGAACCATACAGAACACTGTTATGTGATGTCTGAACCCTACAGAACACTGTTATGTGATGTCTGAACCCTACAGAACACTGTTATGTGATGTCTGAACCCTACAGAACACTGTTATGTGATGTCTGAACCATACAGAACACTGTTATGTGATGTCTGAACCATACAGAACACTGTGATGTCTGAACCATACAGAACACTGTGATGTCTGAACCATACAGAACTCTGTTATGTGATGTCTGAACCATACAGAACACAGTTATGTGATGTCTGAACCATACAGAACACAGTTATGTGATGTCTGAACCATACAGAACGCTGTTATGTGATGTCTGAACCATACATAACACTGTTATGTGATGTCTGAACCATACAGAACGCTGTTATGTGATGTCTGAAGCACATTGTTGCGGTGGCTAGTATGTTTGCTTTCATATGTTCATGGAGATGTGGGCAGTTATTTCATTGATCTGGGACTTAGCCTAAATAAATTTGATAACAGATTGTGGACAGTTAAGGCCACATATTGACCCCTGACCCCACAGGGTGTCTGTTGATAGAAATATGGGGCTGTCACCGTATAAGTGATGCAGCACAAGATGTGGGAAAAGGTCATGTCTGCCACGTATTTGACTGTATCCTTGGTAACTCGGACAGGGAACAATTCGTTCCTGCAGTTGGAACTGGGGATACACCGGAGCTGAGATTGTATTTAATGGGAACAGAAAAATAAAGAGGTTCTGCAGACATTTGGAATAAAAACTGGAGAGTTCCCCTGGGGTTTGGGGGCCCTATTTGGGGGTTGAGGGGGTGGGGGAATAATAGAACCACTATTCCCTGATCAGCGTGTTGTAGGAGTCAACTTATTTTCTTTGAAGTCGAGTGTACCTGTCTGAGAGGCAAGGAACCAACAGTCTGCATATAAATAAGTCAGATGTGTGAAATGGATCTGCATGCAAAACTCAGGTTCTGGAACAAGACTAAACTTCAGAAGTGGATGAACAACCAGAACTTTCCAATGTACTTTATAGCTAGTGAATGCTAAGAAGAAGAGGATGTGCTGGGCCAAAAGATGTAGGTATCAAAGCCTAGCTGTAAACCACAACTACCCTTTTAAGGGCAAATGCTGAAGGAGTTTTGTTAGAATGTTTATATTGAATTCATCTCTATAGCCACAGGTGTCACATTCCAAATAAACAGGCATTTCCGTATAACTGCTATATCGTCAGTTCACATATCATGTAGGTTCACACAGCAGATAGATTCACACATCGCGTAAGTTCACACACCACATAAGTTCACACACCATATAAAGTCACATATCACGTAAACCAAAATAATTAGTTCACATCCTGTATATCAGTCTGCATTCAAAAACAGAGACAGTTATGTAATATATTATCAAGCAGTCGGGCAGTTTTCCCCGTCAGATTGTAACAACAGCAAAGTTTCTCTGCCAGAAAATGTAACAACAGCAAAGTTCCTCTGTCAGAGAATGTAACAACAGCAAAGTTCCTCTGTCAGAGAATGTAACAACAGCAAAGTTCCTCTGTCAGAGAATGTAACAACAGCAAAGTTCCTCTGCCAGAGAACGTAACAAAAGTTCCTCTGCCAGAAAATGTAACAACAGCAAAGTTCCTCTGCCAGAAAATGTAACAACAGCCAAGTTTCTCTGCCATATTGTAACAACTGCAACTACCAGAGTGTAATAGAACAGTAACATTTCTGTACCAGAGTGTAATAGAACAGTAATGTTTCTGTACCAGAGTGTAATAGAACAGTAACGTTTCTGTACCAGAGTGTAAAAGAACAGTAACATTTCTGTACCAGAGTGTAATAGAACAGTAATGTTTCTGTACCAGAGTGTAATAGAACAGTAATGTTTCTGTACCAGAGTGTAATAGAACAGTAATGTTTCTGTACCAGAGTGTAAAAGAACAGTAACGTTTCTGCACCAGAGTGTAATAGAACAGTAATGTTTCTGTACCAGAGTGTAATAGAACAGTAACGTTTCTGCACCAGAGTGTAATAGAACAGAAATGTTTCTGTACCAGAGTGTAATAGAACAGTAACGTTTCTGCACCAGAGTGTAAAAGAACAGTAATGTTTCTGCACCAGAGTGTAATAGAACAGTAATGTTTCTGTACCAGAGTGTAATAGAACAGTAACGTTTCTGTACCAGAGTGTAATAGAATAGTAAAGTTCGTCATCCAGAGTGTAACAGAACAGCAAAATCCCGTTATTAGAATGTACCAGAACATTCTAGGAAATTCCATCATTGATATATTTAGTCTTTTGCTTCAACTGAAGTGTCCTCTGATCCGTTCAAACTGATGTGTAAAACATTCACCATATGCCACACGTTTTTTTTTTCAAAGTTCATTTAATGACCAGCCACAAAGCAGCCTTTTCTGTACATACAAATTGTCTTGTCTTGTCAGGTTCCGGAGTCTTCCAGAATTTGTGTGTTAATATCGTTGTAACTTTCTTTCTTTTGCGACCCACACAGACACATATGTATGTATATAATAAGGTTCTATACATGGGAAACAATAAACATGTCACCAACGATATTGCAAGCATAACTGCAGCAGTGTTTCTACGTGATCTTTAACTACTGTGGACACATCGAAGTGTGTTTTTAAACAATGGTATATTTTTCCTATGTATAGAGACTTATGGGATAGAGTTTGGCTCATTTATTTCACCTATTATTTTTACAGCACATTAAAGATCTCGTTTCCCTGATACTGTAGCTGTGTCCTGTAAATACTTAACGATGTGAGATATGTCACAGTTTGTGCATGTTTACGTTAAACATTTGTGCTGCATCTTTTATATTTTGTACATATTTGTTAATTATCTTTGTTTTAATACTAGATGTTAGCTTTGTTATGGCTAAGGCAGTGATAAGTTAGCATAATGTTGTTGAGTAAAGTGGTAAGTTAGCATAATGTTGTTGAGTAAAGTGATAAGTTAGCATCGTGTTACTGGACAAGTTCTCTCCTCATTGAACTGTCTCACAGGATTACTCCCAGGTGCCTCAGCAACCATGGCTTCACACAAACATTGTTGCTAACATGTTTCACTTCTGGTATCTAATGGGTTTTTCTCGTGTTTTGTTTTTTCTAC